GCCGAAACCACATTCTTAATTCTTTTCCAAAGTTAATTCAACTAACAAGATTAAGGGCAGATTCCAGATCCAGTGACAATAAACCCTTTAGGTTACTTATGATTTTTTATTTTTTATATTTAAGAATCTGTGCTTCATTGACATTTACCCTTGGGCTAATTCAAATAAATCACTGCACACTTGTTAAAAGTACTGCATAGATGCTGCATAGATGGGGATTACATTCTTTGTTTTTAAGGATATGCAACCTAGTTCTATTTATGGTAACCTGAATCTTGTCAAGATCCTGTAATAGCCATCTGATAGATGAGAAAAGAAAAGAAAGCAGCTTGCATAAAATAAAAGCCATAAGCAAATCAGAAAATAAACTGCTAAAAGTGCTCTTAGTAGAAGAGACGAAAAAGAAAAACCAATACCACGTAGAACAAAAGATCAATATTTTATTGACTAGAAAACGGAACGCTGTATGCCTGTAGTTAGTCATAATCTATATGGATTTTATGCCATTACAGTTCAGCACTGGGCAAATTAAGCTCACATAGTGTACTTTTCTTTACTTTTGCACTCAATGTAATGACCATTTTCAGTAAAATTAGAGTACATATCTAATCCCAGACCTGGGATTGACTTCAACAAGCTGTATATTAGGTTCTAAAAGGGCACTTGTGGTCTTAAATTAATGAGTAAGACATACATTAAAATATGTGAAGAGTGTGGTTAATGTCAGACTCTACCAAATAGTACTTCCTTGCACAACTCATCACACTAAGGCTAGGGATAGAAGTTACACACAAACCGGTTTAAGTGATCAGAAACTGGTTTAAACCTGTAACAGAACAGAAGCTCAGCGCACATAAACTAGTTTTTAAATTATTTTAAAATAATTTTTAAATGGCTGAAACTGGTTTAAGATAAATCTGGTTGAATGCAGCATCAGACTTAACCGATTTGGGTCAAACCAGTTTATGAAACATCTGTCCCAGACTGTCCAATAGTGGGCTTTCACTCCCAAAGTCCTGCCCCTATCTATGGTAGAGGCTTGTCTCTATCAATTTAGGTGCCGTCAATCTCTGGAGCTCATCACTTGTCCGAGCGGCTTTTTTTCCTTTTTTTACTCTATCTTCTACACCAAGACAACTTTAGCACCTTGGCTAACAAGCCAAAGTCCACTGTGACATCTTGCTGGCCCCTCCCACACCTCCGCAACCTCGCCTGCCACAACTTGTTGTTATGGAAGAAAATAGAATGCCGGGGCATGTGGGTCTTGACGCTTTGGCTCTTGCAATTTGTCTTAGTGCAATGAGGGCTCCACCAACCCCTACACCCTCACCCGTTCCCCCGCGTGGTAATTCAGTTGTCTCTGCAATCTGCCTTTGAGCAGTACAAAAAAACGCTCCTTGGGTCTCTAGGTCTGGCCAATCAGTATCCCCGATGGGCCCGGTTGTACCTCGCCCAGCTGGAACCTGGCACAGACCTGCCAGTAATCCTAGCCAGTCTTTTTCCTGGCTTATTGTCCTGATAGTTGTAAACGCACTATCTGGGGTGACTTTTCTCTCACCCTAACAAAAAAGAGAACAAAAAAACCAAACTGGCACTTCTTCTGCCCTTATAGTCCCAACTTTGCAGTACCCTTTTCTTCAGCCCTGCTATTAGGGTAATTACGGTACCTTCTAACTGCCTCCAGCAGTTTCTGTTTCTCTCCCCGCGTTTCCTTCAGGGCTCTTTTCCCTGGCAGCTCCCTCCACAGAGTAGCTTCCCTTAAGCCTGGTCTCCCTTGCTTCCTCAGCACCTCTGGCTCTCCCTGCCGTCTCACTGCCTGAGTCAGTCTCTTCCGGTGTCCTGTGTCCCTCTTTTGCCTGCCCCATGTCTCCTTTTATCTTGGAGTTCCAGCTGACTCCCCCTCCCTTCCTGAAACACCAGGTGGAGAAGGAGCCCTGTGGAGTTTTTGCAATACAGGTGGGGCCATTTTACTTCTCTGGGGTTCTTCTCTCTCCTCACACAGACCCCATCCTGGTTCAAGTTAAATCACAGTCCCCCACTATCTCAACATGCTTTGAAGCCCTGGGCTGGCCCCACCTCTGGGCTGGCCAGCTAGAGCAGGGTGGGCTGGCTGACAAGGGAGTTGTGGGGAGGAATGGGGGAGCTTCAAGCCTAGCTGGGGATGTAGCTGAGTGGGAGGGGGAGGGAGTCAGAGGGGGCTAAACACCCCTTCCCATGATCAAAATTACTGCTGGCAGCAACTGTGGATTACAAATCCCAGAGGTACCCGGAAGCAGGAAGAGGATGTGATGAGTAACCCTGCAGTGTCCTGCTGCTGTGATACTGGACTGCAAATCCCAGAGACCTCAGAGGCAGCATGAAGAGGAAGTGAACACACAGCTTATGCTGGCTATGTGCCAGAGAGCCATGCTCTGGTATCCCCTGGCTTCTGGCATGTGGCTGCATTTCCTGAATCAAAGGTAAATGTCTGTTCACTTCTCTTTCAATGTAATCTCTGCATCTTAGACTAACCTGCAAAGACTAAATCAATTCAGCCTTGGGCTTTTTGACTGTCTGTACTTAGCCTAATAGTTTAATGACAGGACAGTATGGAACACTGAAGGGAAGAAACAGTTTCAAGATCAGTCTAGATGGCCTTAAACTCAGAACCTACTAGTGCAGAAGCTCAGCAAGCTGGTGAAACCCTCTCTAAAGGTGCTGAGGAACAAAGCTGCATCACACTGTTGATATAAGGGAGGGATGCACAATTGTATTGTATGTATTAGAAGTGATATACTGGTAGATGGAGGTAGCACTTTAGAGGGTGCGAGGCATGTTCCTTGTCCTAAAGAATTTTGGCCTAGATCCTAATTAACCTGCAAGGCTCCTCCAGTGCTTGAAACTGAGGTGCCTTGCTTCAGGGTATTGATCCTAGTCACCATGTTAGGGGCCAGGCTGCCTGTATAGTGAATGAGATACACGGTACCTCTCAAGGGTTGCCTAGTCTCTCAACAGGGAAATGCTTACAGTGAATAGGAAATGTTTCTGCTCTTCCTCTGAGCTTTAGTAAGTCGCTGCTGATTGCTAAGGGCTATGTTACCTGAGGGATGAGCAGGGTCTCCGTATGAACTAACATATCTAACTTATAACAGCACTGACACCTGTTTTTCACTGTTGCCACAAGGCTATTCAGCCAAAAGGTGGCCAGTGTTTTGTACTTATTCTGAAAGCAAGTATACAGTTGTTTAGCATGGTTTTTCTCCACTTAAGGAATCTGACTTGGATGGACCTTAGTTGCTCACAACCTAGAACTATCCAAGTTGACTGGAATGCAATGGAGCTTGCAGGAGTGAGTTGCCCAGATGATATGGGTCTGAGCAGGCACAGAAATCTAGGAAACTTGTCAAGTCAAAATGGAAGTGCCTTGGGCACTTAAGTGGTTTTGTGACTGTTAAATGGTGTTGAGTAGGATCATGCTTTATAACTAAAACACCTAATTTCGGCCTAAGATCAGTTTTTTGCAAGGTTTATGAGAATCCGGTTCTTACAGTATAATACAGACAAGGCAAGCTTATATGAAAAAAGGCACAAGGCCAAAGTTGCAGGAAGTGAGAGCAAGGATAAATTGCTACTAATGAGAACAGATGGATTCTTGAAGAATGAGTTTTTGAGTGCAAGGAATAGGTAGCTGAACCAACAGGAAGCAGACCACACTTAAGCCATGCCTATGCTTAAGAAAGAGAATTGACGTTTATTGTGTGTTCTAAATACTAGGGTAAGCTAGGCTGTGCTAGTTTTAAGGCATATATGTGCTAGTTGAGGTATTTTGCACTCTAAATGATCTGTGATGATCAGTCTCATGCAAGACTAAAGCATATTTTTATGTATTTAGATTCAATGGAAAACTTATACAGAAAAATAATAAATGAAGATAGCTCACTTTGGGTTAGGTCAGGTTGTTATCCAGCTCTTTCCATGAATAAAATCTTAAAAGTGTGTGTGTATGGCAGTGGGGGGGTTAAGGCATGTATGATTTCAGAGCATAAATTAGCCACTAAGGCTAGGGACAGACATTCAAAAAGCCTGAGCCTGAATTGATTCAGTCTTTGCAAGTTAGTCTTACCTGGCTAGGCTGAACCAGTTTGTAACCGTACAGACATCCCCTCTGGACTGAAATAAGCAGGCATGTGCCTGCAGCAGCTCAGGCTAGAAGCCGGGGTGTCCTAGAGCAGCCCTCCCTTCCCTTTCACAATGCTGAGCTGAGGGAGACATGGCCAAGCCCTGGCAGGATGCTTTGATTAGGGAGGGGTCCCCCTACCCTCCCTGAGCAGTTCAGCCCCTGCAACAGCCCAGCAGGGAATTGATAACACAGTGCTTATCACCCCTAACTCAGTGTTTATCATCCCATTAAGAAAACAACAGAGGGACATTACCAGCTACCTGTTGATTCTGCATTTGTCCAATCTGCCACAGCCCAGACTGTAGCCAGTATGTGGTCTGTTGTGTGCCTGTATAAAACAGAGGGATTGGAGGAATCCCTGCTTAGCAGGGAGTGGGGAGGGGGAAGGCAGGAAGACACCTGCAGTCTCTGCCGAGCTCCAGTCATGGAGCAGAGGGAAGGGGCCAGCCCTGCTGTGGAGCAAAGAGCCCTGCCCAGTCCAGAGAGCATGCTGGGTTGCTGGGGGAGTCTGATTTAACTGCAACCAGCAAGGGGTCTGGGACAGACATTGCATAAGCCCGTTTGAGGCAAATCAGTTAAGTCTGATATGACATTCAATCACGTTTATCTCAAACTGGTTTCAGCCACTTTCAAACTGGTTTATGTACATGGAACATCTACTCTGTTGCAGGTTTAAACCAGTTTCTGATCACTTAAACTGGTTTATGTGTAATGTTTGTCCCTAGCCTCAAATCAGAATCAACTATACTTAAACCATTTTTGGCAGATGTTTGCTCAACTCTGTTACATTATGTCCTAGGAGATCAACAGAAACTGTTTATCAAAAAATAGGAAATGGCAGTCGTAAAAATGTCATTTATCTCTGGAATCTCTAAATATGCACTTCAAACTTTTGATGCACACCCATGGCATGCCAGAACTTCACATTTTTTACAAGCTGCTTATTTAACATACAGTATATTGACATTCAAAAATCTGGAAAAGCAAGTGGTTCACTGCCCGAGAATACAGCTGTGTAAAGGAATTCTGGTTTATCTTAAAATGAGTGTAAACATTATATATCTCTTTAGCAGCTCTGTAATATATTGATTAATGAAGGCTGTGGAAGAAATGTAAGCTCTCCCTTTTCTTGATCCTCTTGGCCTTGGACTGGCTAGCTGCTAGCTTTGAAGAAGTAATGCAGTTTTTCTCTTTTTTCTGTACCGCAGGCATTTCTCCTTCTAGCTGCTGCACATGGCAAGGTTTGTCAGTTGATGCCTTTGTCTGCATGGCAGCGTTGAGGCATAGGAGGGAAGTGGGCCATTATTCTGATTAAATATTATGGCTTAGTGGGGAACAACTGTCCCTAATTTTCTACACTAGAGTCTGAATTAGTAGAGTACTGGTATCACCTCACTAATGTCACAGATCATCCCTTCAATATAGACTTTCATGTTCATTTTTGGTTTAAGTAAGATAAAATGTAAATTTTTAAGCTCTCAACAGCAGAGTGCACTGTGTTATAAGAAGAAATGAACTGTATTTAGGTTAAAAGTATATACAAATCCCTTTTGAATAGTTTGCTTAGCCAGTACTGTTTGGCTTAAAATCTTTTTACATGATATAAAGCATGCATAGAGCAGTTGAGCCTTGTGACAGAATTAAATTGTTAATAGTGACTTGAATGACTAAAGAACTACTGTATCATTTAGAAGAATTTCTCACTACAGGGTAATGAAGTACATGGCTAGAATGTGTGAGAATAATGCATCTCTTTCTCTAACTACATAGCTGAGCCACATTCACGACAAAGGATATCATCCTGCTGGGTAAGGAATCCTTGACCCACCAGTGAGATGGAACATTTAACACAGTTAAAGCATTCACTGTGCCACTGGCGGTCTTCAAATGAGATAAACTGGGCGTCTCCAAGAGCTGAAAAACAGAGAATGCAATATGTCTGAAAATAGTCTTTACCTACAGTTGTCTTTCACACAGAAATAGATGTGTGCATGTGTACGCACGCACACACACACACACACACTGGTAGCTAAGAGTCTACTGTGGATGATACATTTGTCCAATATCTAATTGCAGGAACAAAGAGTTGTAGATGTGAGAAATATTTGCAATAAAATCCCAAACTGTGAAGTGACTGCCTGTTTTAACATCCTTTTATCCCCAAACATGGACTAGGCTTATCTAAAGGCCCACTAAAATATGCACTTTTCCAGTTACACTCAGCCTGTTTGATAGTGAACTGCAATAGAAATCCTGCAGCATATGTGGTTTCAGCAAAGCCATTTGAAATTCTGTGATGTGTTTTTTTCCTTGCCCAATATTCAAACTGAAACTCAATAGATTTGTGCCCTGTGAAACACAGGTACTTGGAAAAGCCAACTTCTGGGATGGCAGTGACTCAAAAGTTTAATGATTAACATTGAATCATAGGAAATTAGGGTTGGAAGAGACCTCATGTGGTCCAACCCCCTGCTCAAAGCAGGACCATCCTCAACTAGATCATCCCAGCCTAGTGGGTCATAAAAACCTCCAAGGATGGAGATTCCTCAACCCCTCTGGGTAGCTTTTTTCAGTATTTTACTACACTCCTAGTGAGAGAGTTTTTCTTCATATCTAATCTCAATTTCCCTTGCTTCAATTTGAAACCATTGTTCCTTGTTCTGTTGTCTGCCATCACTAAGAACAGTTTAGCTCCATCCCCTTTGTAACCACCCTTCAGGTAGTTGAAGCCTATTATTAAATCCCTCCCTCGGTCTTCTCTCCTTCAGGCTAAGCATCTGAATTAAGAATACAGGAACAAGGAGGCTCAGGAATATATGAGGGGAGCCAAATCCTATCATATTTGATTGAATATCTACCATTTTCTTTTGCTTACTTATATTTGTAACAAGCACCTATAATTAACTTCAGCATTGGACTACAGGGGTAACAGATTAACTCAAATATATGGCCTCAGAACACCTTAATAATTATGGAGTGTTGAGGTAACATTTAATTTAGCCCTGTGGGCTTAAAATGTTTTATAATCATAAAAGAGCTTTGCATGATTGGCAAGATCTCTATTTTTTATAAATGTGCTGTACCTGTACAGAATATTAAATCTAATTAACCTACAATTGTAGCAGTTTTATATCTAATAACACCTAATTATAGAAGCAGTGTGTGTGCGTCTACACTAGAGCGTGAGAGTTCTACAATATCTCTCTCCTGTAGTGATTCTGAATCACTCATTTGCACCTTTTCCACTTCACATATGTACAAGAATGTATATTATTCCTGAGTCGGCCTTTTCACCGCCTAAAATAACTCTTAGTCCCGTGACAGATGTGTTCTGCATATTCTAACACACCATGTTACATAAAATAACAATGGAGCCAGAATCTGTCTTTTTAAACTAATAATTAAAACTTCCAAAAACTTTAATTGCAAATAGATTTTACTTGTTTGGATTAATTAAAAGAGATCTGACCTGAGACAGCACTGATACTATGGCAGTCTCAACTTACCAGTAATAGTGTTGTTGCAGGCTGAACATTTCTTTGCATAAAGATTGCTGAAGCAGTCCAAGCAATACGGATATTCGCCTTTGGAAATAAAGCGTTGTCCAGACAACTGCTGCTTACAGCCAGCACACAGAAAGCATTCTTTATGCCATGGTTGGTCATTAAAGGTCACCCCGCCAGTAGTTATTACCTGTTATGTTAACAAAAAGCAAACAAACAAAAGAATAAAAGCATGACTCACCAGCTGTAGTGATCAGATATTTAACCACAAAACTTCATTACTGCAAGAATTCAGAGCAATTTTAAGCTCTAAGGATTTCTAAGTCTGTTTCTTTTCTCTCTCATATGCTAAGAAAGGGAAAAAAATCTGTTTGTATTTTGATCTAAATATGTATTTTGGGGGGCTATTCATGTTGGTTTGATAGACAGCCAACCTTATATAAAGGGTAGATTGACTTTCCATGAAATTCCCTGGTTGACCATGGAGATACACAGTTTGGATCACACAAGCTCTTGGAAAAGGATTCCCCAAAGATGGTGGTAAACTTATCTACGGGATTGTAAAGGTTACATTTCTATCTGGAAAAAAGATTGTTCTAACAACCAAGGCAAATTTTGAAGAAAGGAAAGCCATTTTTAAAGGGAAGATGGAGAAGGAAAAATACTTTCAATGTCAAGGAATGTGTTTAATTCATGTGTCTCCAAACTTCAGATTTCCTATGGCCTCACTTTCTATTGCTCAAGGCTGGTTACTACCACAAAGGAGGGCCTTTAACACTTCTACTGCATTCCTAGCTGAGGTGGCATACAGAATTAATAGCACTTAAGATATTGCATAAAAGAATACTGCATTTAAAAATAAGGATGAAAAGAACTATAACATAATAGTCTTAGTTGTCAGTCGTGTGTTTGCCATAGAATGCGTGTCAGCAGGCTCAGGAGATAGGACAAATAGGAGAAACTTTTTGTCTGTTTAAATAAAAATGGAGGCATCCTCATGTTTCCCAAAATGCATTATTCAGTAAAACTGCATTATTCCACTAACTTAATTATTAACAACATAACCTTCAAATATGCTACCTGGAAAAATTAAGAGCTAGTAAAATTGGTTGGTGTCTCATGAAAGATAGGCAGGTGGTAAGAAATTTTCTTCATGCCAGTAACTGAACATGAAAGGAGTGGGAGGCAACCAGGGCACCAGCCCCAGGTGCTAACTGTAAGAGGGACTATGAGCTGGGCAGGGAAGCCCCACACCTAGCAGTGTATCTTGGGGTTGGGGGGGGTGGGGATGTGGGAGTGGATGTGGGAGTGGATTGGTGCTCCCCCACCACTAGGGAGTTTTTGTTATGGCAGGTGCAGCCCTGTACCTGATAGCATAATGGGGGGGGAGAGTGAATGGAGCACCAGGGGAAGCTCCCAAGCTGCCACCAGAGCCAATATGGCTATAGCAGTGGCAGGTAGGACTTCTCTTTCTCACCTCCTCCACCTCCCCTTCCCCTCAACAGTGGTTGGCATATTCCCCCTGCCCCTGGTACTGAATGAGCTTGCAAAACCTTTGCCTTATGGTACTCTCAGACTGCACCTCAGTTCCTTGTTATTTCACTCTTGGGCTCATAGGCGACATGTGGGGGGGGGGCACAGGGGGGCATGTGCCTCTCCTGAGATTGGCCACCGCCGAAGCCACTGCCGGCTTCTGTGGGTGGTCACCACCCCACCGCCCCGCTGTTGACGCAGTCAATGGCAGCTGCAGGCGGGTGGTCCCCGCTTGCTACCTCCACACCCCCCCTTGCCACCAACACCGCCACAGCCACCTACAGGTAGTCCCTGCTTGGCTTGCCCTTGCCGCCAATATCACCGTGGCTGCCTGCAGGTGGTTCTCGCTCCCCACCGACACTGCTGCTGTCCACGGGTGGTCACTGTGACCCCCCCCCTTAGCCCCAGGGGGCATGCATCGTTCATGCTTGGGCTACATTTAACTGTACCATGTCTTTTTATATTATAATTTATTTGTTTTTTACTACTGCTAAGTTCTAGATTCCAATTTATATATGTAGCCCTTTGGGAACAATTCTGTAGCCACTGACAGTGCTGTAGCAAGGAAGTTTGGCAAAGCCCGCCCTCGCCCAGTGCACAGATCTGGGGAGGCACATAGATTTCATAGACATTAGGGCTGGATGAGACCTCAGAAGATCATTGAGTCCAGCCCCCTGCCCCAGGAGCAGGAAGTCAGCTAGGGTCAAAGGATCTCAGCAAGACAAACGTCCAAACATTTCTTAAGAGTCCAGAATAGGTGCTTGCACCACCTCTGGAGGCAGTCTGTTCCAGGCCTTGGGGGCTCAGACAGTAAAGAAGTTTTTCCTGATATCCAGCCTAAAACGGTTTTGGAGGAGTTCGTGCCCATTGGACCTTGTCATCCCTGCGGCGCTTCGGTGAACAGGTGTTCCCCCAGATCCTGATGCACACCCCTTATGTACTTATAGGCTGCTACCAGGTCACGCCTGAGCCTGCACTTTTCCAGGCTGAAGAGTCCCATGGCTCTCAGTCTCTCTTCATAAGGCCTATTCTCTTGCCCTCTGATCATGTGCTCTCCTCTGGACTCTCATGCCCCACCACTGCTTGCCTGGGAGTGCACACAGTGGCGGGAGCTGCCCTTCCTGCATCCCCACGTCCCCCCCGCTCCCCCCCCACAAATGAGTTGCTTCTGGCTCTGTCCTGCACCCTGGCCCAGCTGAGCAGCACCTGTTGGCACCCCTTCACTTCAGCACCTGGAGCAGTCGCCCCACTTATCCTCTGCTTGCTACAGCACTGGCTACTGAATTTGTGAGACTTCCATCTTTGAAGTAGGGGTGGATCTCTTTTATGAAGCGAAATTGTTCTGTTAATCCTGTGTGTGCAGTTTTCTTTTTCTATCACCAGAACCTTTTTTTCAAAGGCAAATCATGCTTGTTCGCACAGCTTGTGGCTTGCCTGAAGTAAGATAAAGTGCTAGCGGCTTTATTTTTGTGATAGTGTATGCAAATTCATCATGATTGACTGTATCAATGCCAAATATACTTAAAGGAACATTCCAAAGATTAATTATTGAGTATATTGCTTAAATTACAGGGATTCAGTAAGGGCACAAACATACTGCTGATGATTAAGTATGTTTAAAAGTTAACTGATGCGGTGCAAGGCTCTTCTAGGCAAAATGTACTTCAAGAACTGCCGACTAATACTTAAAGAACTGCTGAGAAGCAGAAGCATTTCAAGAAACCAACAAAAAAACCCAGCTATCCCTATTGTGGAATACTGTGAAGGTTTGTGGACAGATCATGTTTCATCATCACTCACAGATTGTTTTTGTCTTGAGAAATTGATGGAAGGCCGAGAAATTTATTTTTTTGTATGAGAGAAAGGGAAAAATAGTTTTCAAATGGCACTTTCTGGTAAAGAGAAAGAGGCATATATGTTAAAGAGGTGAATTATTCAGAATTTTCTTTACCTTTTAAATAGTGCTGTTTAATCCAGTTGCTACCTGACATTGGGTTAAGAGAGATTTTCCAATAAGATCCTGAATACTTTTCTCATTGTAAATATTTTGACTGTGCTTATATAAATGAATGTGCCTAACAATTGTAGAAAGAGGGAGAACTTCATGGGAACAATGAATTGTGCTCAGTATCCTCTCAGTCCATTTCCACACTATGGACAGATGAGTATGGACAGATGCCCTGGTGTAATTTACTGGTTTTGTATACCAGTATAAATTACACTGGGATCAGCGACTGATAAACTATCCTGAGAGTTAAATACATGAGATGGCTATTAGGGCTGTGCAAAATTTTGGCAGCCGTTTCATTTCAGAGGTGTTCTGGCCCATTTCGGCACCTGAATCCGAAATGAAATGGAGGGCTCTGAAACATCTCAGAAACTAAACGAAACCACCTGAAACATTTTGGATGTTTCAGAATGTTTTGGAGACAGGGCTGCAGGGAAACAGAAACTCAGAAGAGGGAGGGGGAAGAGAGAGGGGGAAGGACTGCTCTGATATTGACATCTGTAGCTGGCCAGTGTCTGTGATCTGTCCCTGAGGTCCCTTCCAATCCCAGTGCTCTGGGGGAGGGATGGAGAAACAGCATATAAGGCTCTGTGTGAAGCCTTTCTCTCTGCCTTTTGTGAGCTGTCTGTCTGGAAGCAACAGCGTGTGAAAGGTACTGGCTGGCTGCAGTGACTGGCTTCCTAGTCAGTCTCTTGCTAGTCTCTCTTTTTGGAAAAGATTGGATACACCTTTCCAATATATTACAGATAGAAGATATAGTAAGCAGATAGAAGAAGATATATTGCACAGAGAAGATATATTACACACACACACACACACACACACACACACACACACACACACTAAATGCACACAAGATATATTACACACACATTTTCCAGCACAGCAAACATTATGAAGCATGTTGGAAAGGCAGGTGCCAGGTCTTCTGGCAGGGGAGTAAGAGGGGCCTTGCTCCTCCTCAGCTTGGCACCAGCGGGAGCATGCCCAAAGGGAAGTCCCCCTCTCATTCCAAAGCCCCCATCCCCCAGAAGCAGAAGCAGGCCACCCTGGACCAGTGGGGAAAAGGTGGAGGGAAAAGGGGGCACATTCCCAAGGCGAGTGAGGTCACCCAGAGAACTGGGGAGATGCTTGCTCTGGATAGCCAGCCCTTCTCCTTAGTAGAGTGACCAGGATTCAGGTGGCTCATGGAGCTCATGGCCCAAGTGCCTGCACATACCACCTTCAGTAGGACGGTGGTGCCCTCCCTGTATGAGGCATGCAGGGAGTATTTGAAGGAGGAGTTGCGCAAAGCAGGTCCACAGGTGGCCTTACACTTCACCTCGGACATCTGGAGCAGCCGGGGTGGAGATCATGCCTACCTCTCCCTCACAGGGCACTGGTGTGATCAGTGAGGCCATCAGTGGGCTCTCCTTCAAGCCGAGGTGATGGATGAGTGAGTCTCACATAGGAATGAACATCATAGGGGCCATGAACCTCATGGTGCAGGGGTGGCTCATTGGGCAGGGCAAGCTCACCCGTGGGTTCATGGTCACCAACAACGGGGCCAGTATGGTCAAAGCGGTCCATGATTCCAGCTTCGTTGGCATCCTTTGTGTGGCACATACATTCCAACTTATAGTCAGGGACACCTTGGAGGGGGACAGGGC